AATAATAATAATAATAATAATAATAATAATAATAATAATAATAATAATAATAATAATAATAATAATAGCATTACTAACATCAAAACTACTATTAGTAGTAGTAATAGTTGTTATTTTGGTGGTGGTGGTGGTAGTCGTCATAGCAGTAGTTATATTAGTATCCGATATTATTAGTAGCTATTTAAGATCTTGCAGTATTGAAACCTACTCTAAAGGCATCCGTGCTCCGTCCTGATCCTGGCCGGCATTAGACGTGGCATGGGAATGCTGGATGAAATCCAAATAAACATCTTTGCGACATTTATTCAAGTGCACACGACTGGCTTAAGTGCCAATTTGGAAGCATTTTCGTGCCCATAAGAGAAGAAAATGTAGGCAGGAGACGCTGTGGCTGAGAAGTCGAAGCCGACGCTTATGAAACAATTGAAAGTCCAAATGTCCGAGACAGACTCGTCGCGAAGCGGTCGTAGAGGCTCGTTTAGGCCCATTCGGCCATGCAAAGCTGTAGTTGTGCCTGTCCAAGACCGAAGCATATTGGACATTTGCAAAGTTGTTGTTCTGATTAAAATTGCTTTTTTGCGTGACACTACTCACGAGTAGAATGTGAAACCTGTTTTCTGCACTTTGAACTGCCTCACTTGCCCTTATTCACGACGCATGACCGTGGCCGAGTGGCCCACCTGCCCACCTGAATTGGTATGTTGAGCTGTTGTGCAGTGCCAGTAAAGGTGACATTTTCTTTTCTAAACAATCCTCCCTAGGCATGAACAACGGCAGGCCGGGTCAGCCATCGCAAGGTGCGACGCATGAATCCTTTCGTCTCTGGGTGACGACGGAGGAACACGACAAGTTTCCCATCAACTTCCTGCAGATCGCATTGAAGTTCACCAACCAGCCGCCCGAGGGCATCAAAGCCAGCCTTTCCCGCACGTACAGCGAAGTGACGCAAGACTTTCTGGACGCTTGTGTCGGTGCGCACTGGAAGATCATCCTCTACGCCATGGCTTTCTTGCACTGCACGGTTCAGGAGAGACGCAAATACGGTCCAATGGGTTGGTGTATTCCTTACGAGTTCACTAACTCGGACTTCAACGCCAGCGTTCAGTTCATCCAGAGCCATATAGACACTTTGGAGTTTTCACGGCCCAGCAGTAAAATAAGCGTATGTTGCATCTCACGTCTACTTACGTGATTATAAGTAGTGCGCTGATTGTGTTTTATTTTTATCAGCAGTGTTTATTTACTATATAGTACTATAAATCATTGTTCATTCGGTGGCATTTCACAATTTAGCGAGGGTCGGCCAGCTGGCCAACTTGCGAAATGG